ACTGTCAAGGTGCATAAAGAAAAATATAAACATGTGAATGACGGACTTCGACAATGGATACGGAGAGAATATTTTATTCGACTCCTCGCTAACTACACAGTATAAACAAAACATGGCCGCCGCCCCGACTTCCGACCGGAAATTCTTTCCCCGGCAGGGAGAGTTTTCAGGGGAGATAGCTCACATAGATTAACAAATGAGATTCAGGAAAAAACTCTGTGCAAAAAAGTGACTCATTCTAATGATTAAACTGGTAAATTTAAAGAGCCTTTGACAAAATATTGAAAACTATTTTACAATACACTCTGAACAGTATTCTAGAGAATTCTAGAACAGCTTAAATTAAATCTAGAGTATTCCAGAATATTCCAGAAAGCCTCATACAGTATAAAAACAGCTTGAAATAGCCACTCAGAACTGCTTAAGGCATCTATTATTGCCCTCTCAAAAGCAGGCAAATCTAAGAGAGAAATTGTAGAAATAGCTATAACCTTGCAATCAATTGTCTCTCGAGTGCTTAGGGCACATAATGATGCCACTCCTACTCCAAGGAAGGAAACAAGGGGACGAAAGAAAAAGATTCATGATAGAACTGGCAGAGTAATCAAGAGAGAAGTTGCGAAGAATAGGACTATAACTAGCCAAGAAATTGCAGCCAGTCTAAGCGAAGAGCAAAGTGTTAGTCTTGCCTATTCAACAGTCCATCGGTGGCTGTTAGAACAAGGCTACAAATCTTGTACACAAAGATTTAAGCCGCTAATAAGCAAAGCCAACAAAGCCAAGAGACTTGAATGGGCTCACTATTACAAAAATTTCACCATAGAAGACTGGAAGAACGTTCTCTTCTCCAATGAAACGAAAGTTGAACTAAATTCAAAGGATAAGCAATCTAAAATCCGAAGAAACTTTGAAAGCTCTTTGAATTTAGTAGTAAGTACTGTCAATCATCCATTCAGTATAATGTTCTGGGGATGCTTTTCTTTTCATGGAACTGGTTTCTTAAAACCTATTGAAAAGACCCTCAGGAGCGAGTAGTACAAGAGAATTTTAGAGTCTTGTCTGCTCCCTTCTGCTGAAAGGGTGCAAATCAACCCCACCAAGCTCATTTTTATGCAGGATAATGCTCCCTCTCATAAATCAAAATTGATGAAGGAATACTTTGATGAGAAGCAGGTGAGTGTTATGACATGGCCGCCCCAATCTCCTGACCTCAACCCCATAGAAAACTTATGGAGCATTATAAAGTACAGGCTCTCGAGAAAGCAGTTGAGCAACAAAGAGGATTTGATTGTGAATTTCATATCTGAATGGAATTCAATGCTTGGAGATGAGATTTGCCAGAACCTGATCAAGTCAATGCCAAAAAGGGTTGAAAAGGTCATTCAAAATAAAGGAGGACCGTAAGATTATTAAATATTTCGAACTATATTACCTATTATAGATAAATTATACCTCTATTATTCTTTATTTGAAGCTGTTTGGTTATATTTCTATTGATTACTAGTTGCAGGAAATAAGTGAGTCACTTTTTTTGCACAGAGTTTTTCCCTAAATCTCATTTATATCCAAGATTACAATTATCAATAGAATATCTTAGGGTGAGTAAACATTTTTACTAGGTGGTCGGGAAGGGGTCTTTATATTAGTAAGATTAAAATTAGTTTGACCCCCAAAAACAGTAGACAAAAAAAATTTTAAGTAAAAAAAGAATCAGGTGAGTCACTTTTATCGAACAGCACTGTAATGATTTTATTTTGCAACAAGTATATATTTATAAGCAGAAGTAAAAAAAATTTGTTAGTTTTGCTGAATTTTTTAATTTAAGAATGAAAGTCAAGCTAAAATATAGAGAATGCCAAGGGATGCAATTTAATGTTTCATGAGCAAAAATGAGTAAATGCTGTTATTGTGGTTTTGCTGAATTTTTTATCTTTATCTATATTGTCTTTTTACAGATTTATTTTTAGTTATATCTGAAGTCTTACACACACACACACACACACACACATAGGGTTAATGTGAGTAAAAGTTTGCTGATTGATGTTACCAGCATCCTGACTCCTGAGTTTTGTAGCATCCTGGGTAAGACGTTAAACTATGTCCAGCAGCAAGGCCTCTGATCAGGAGGTTTTGAGGAGTGTGGAACCACCTCTTAATTGCTGGTGTTCCCAGGTCCACCCTGACCCGGGGTGGTAGCACCTGTTATGGTCCCAGCTATGGTCAAATAGTTAATTATTACCAGCAATGCTTTTTTGAAAGAGATTATTACCAGCAGTGCAATTATTGGGGAAATATATTACCAGAAACAGATTTTTGACAAAACAAAATATTGCCAGCAATAAAAATTTTTGTCAGCATTAGGTGATCCATTGAGTTTGATGTGTAAAACAAAATAATCCAAACCAATCTAAACCAAAGAATACATATACTATTCATACGAATCTATCCTAAAAATCTTGTCGGCATTAAATAACCCATTGAGGTTGATATGCTGTAAAACAAAATAAAGCAAACCAATCTAAACCAAAGAATACATATTCTATTCATACGAATCTATCCTAAAAATCCTGTTGGCATTAAATAACCCATTGAGGTTGATATGCCATCAAACAAAATAAACCAAACCAAACCAGAGTTTTGTAGATAGACCTGTTCATCCACTCTTTAGCAGGTATCAGCAAAAAAATATATATATATATATATATATATATATATATATATATATATATCTGGTTCATACTTCAAACTGGTCTTGTGAACAGGAGTAGAGGTTTAGCCTTTGTTTCCTGTTTAGTATTGGGCTTCCGGTTCCTTCTAAAGTCTTATTTCCTTTCATTCCCAGTAACGTCTTGTGTCTTAGTGTCATTATCACCTTGCTCAGTGTGACTTGATATATATATATATATATATATATATTAATGAAAAAAGAAAATGCGTAAATCCAATTTCAAATGTTTGAGTTGTATTTAACCCTAGGACACTAACCATCAATTAAAGTTACACCACTACTAACCATGGGTATATCATACCTGATATTGAAAATATCAAAATAAATATTAAATATAAATCTTTATTTGAAATATTTTACATGCAGGCACTTCAAACTTTGTATTTTGAGTTAACATTAATAGGAACTGAAAAACATTATTTAAGTAAGAAAATCAGGTACTGAAAATTGTAATTAAAAATAGGAAAATTTGCGCTGGGTAATATATACCCATGGTTAGTGTTCTAGGGTTAAAATTCTAAAAATAGCTTTTTTTAAATGAATAAAAATTGCCATTGGAGTATAGAGTAACAGTGCTGTCAAGAAAAATCATCTCTTTGAAACACCATTTTTTTTTTTTTTTCTTACACTGGTATATTTCTTAAGCTTTGCATTTTTTTTTAAATACTTCATCAGCTGATTCTATGTGACTAAAGCCTCTGAATAATCAGCATAATTCCTGTAGTCAATGCTTTTGGTAAAATGTAAAGCATTAGTATTAAGATAACTTTGTGCTGAATACTGGATAAACAATTGGTTCATTAAATATTGATTATCCTGCAAAATCTCTGCAACTTACCTAATATGTGTGGTTTACCTGCACTTGACATTGCCAGATTTGCCAAGATGCTGTTAGGCGGCACTTTTAAACAGCTATAAAAACAGGACACTTCCTGTTTCTTCCTTCCTCTCAGTATGTAGTAGTAGTAGTAACACCAGCATGGATCTTAACCGCAGCATGGAGATATCTTTCACCTGAGTGACTGAACTCTCTCTTTCACATATACACTTCCTAATTGCTAAATGTTAATGTTTCCTTTTTTTCATCTATATTTGTATGCTTTCTAATTTGATAATTGTATCATTACCTAAAATGAATGAAGCCAATCAGGAAGTCTGACCGGAATGAATATTTTGAGCCAATCAGGAAGTCTGACCGGAATGAATATTTTGAGCCAATCAGGAAGTCTGACCGGAATGAATATTTTGAGCCAATCAGGAAGTCTGACCGGAATGAATATTTTGAGCCAATCAGGAAGTCTGACTGGAATGAATATTTTGCCAAGCCAATCTGAGAATGAATATTTTGACTGGAATGAATATTTTGAGCCAATCAGAATGCCTGAATAGAAAAAAGTCTGGACCGGAAATATTTTGAGCCAATCAGGAAGTCTGACCGAATTTATTTTGAGCCAATCAGAAGGCCGAATGAATATTTTAGCCAATCAGGAAAAAAAAAAATGAGCCAATCAGAAGGCCTTATCTTAGCAGGCCTGACTAGAAAAAAAAATTGTGCTTATCAGCAGGCCTGACTAAATTTCTTTGTTAATCAGTTAATAGTTATATAAAAATGCATGAAAATATTACCCTGTTGAAATTTATTCCATTTCCTTTCACCTCTACAAGTAATGACAATCTGTCATTTACATGTGTAAATTTTGTTTGTCACTGCTTTTAGACTAACATATGATGACCACCTACATGATCTGAACATGCATATATTTTCTTTTTTTTTTTTTTTTTCTTAAAGCATTTCACCCCAAGCAAGGCGGGAAGCCACTAGCACACAAGGGCTTACAGAGAGTTGGAGCTAGAGCAAATAGGAGTGATAGAGGAAAGGATGAAGAGAAGGATTGGGGGATAGATCAAGGCAACTGGAGACGTCGATTGACATTACATTTGAATAGTTGGAGATTATAGCTATCAGGGAAAGAGAAAAAGGGGAGGGAGTTCCACAGGCGAGAAGTGCAAGACATGAAGCTATTGGAGTAGAAGAGATGGCTACATTTAACAGTTTCGATAGTGAAAGGGTGAGGGCGAGATGCCGGCCTAGTTGAACGCTTAAATTCATGAAGTTTGGGAACCAGCGAAGACAGCTCATCAGAGCAGTTACTGTGAAAGTATTTGTAAAAAAGACAAAGGGAGGCAGCAGCACAAACTAAATCTTCTGTCATCTCTTACTTGAGTAAAAGAGATAAATAGTATTTTCTCTTTGATTATTTTCTTTTTTAAGGTCAACCATTTTGAGTGGCCTTCCCCAACACCAGAATGGCATGTATGGCTTGCATCACAGTGTTCATCATTTCAATTCATTCGACCAGGTACGCAGCCTTCCTCTCATCCTTCAAAATGCTGGAATATACACAGGTGAGTTTGTGGGGATTACCTCCACTTGGTCTTTGAAGGTGATTCCAGGACTATAAGTCATAACTGTTTTTCTGTTTTTTTCTCTTTTTGTTCTAGAGTAGTTAGAAGACTTCTCTGAACTTCCCTTCTAATGGGACTTATTCACCCAGTTACGTGATGCATGTTCCACTTGCTTGCACACAAACATGGTTTGGATACTGTAGCTTCTGATAGTTCGAAATCACCCTCGGTGTTCATTAAAGGTGTAAAAGTGAATAGTAGATTTAACAGCAAATGTTGGAAAGAGATGTGTTGCCCTGGTTGCCAGTGATATTTGGAAGTTGCTATGTCTTCACTAGAGATGGAACTCCCACACATATGGCAAATTTGATGCAGAATTGGTGTAAGAGAGATTTTTAGGGACATTAATGAAGCCCTGACTTTAATCCTGTGGACGTTGTGATATGGCCCGTGTTGGCTGGTTGTTTTTGTTTAGCGGCATATCAACCTCTATGGGTAATTTAACCTTTACCATGCTAATTTGTTTCTAGAGTTGTCTTCCCTGTCACTGCATTTTTTTTGAGGGGACAAAAACATGAACACCTATTGTTTTAAAATTGTTATAACTTTCATTGTATTGTGCGTATAGATTTTAATTTTTGTACACTAATAGAAGAATGAGTGAGTACTATTTTCATGTAATGCATTTTGTAATGCATGCATGTTTTGATGTTGAAAACAAAAAATTAAAGCACAAAATTAAAAAGGTGAAATGAAAAACAAATACATTAAATAATACATAAATAATTCAACGTACTTTAACTTTGCTTATTCCTTGTGGAGTTTTGAGTGCTATAAGAAGCAAAATAACTAAAAAAGACTTTCATTTTGTCAAAAACATGACACGTTTCCTCGTGTTTACATATGAGACACTTTTTGTTTGCTCTTTCTTTCACCTGACTCATTATTATTTGTCTTGTTGACAAATAAAGTTATTATTTCATTGTTTTTAAATAGACAAAATAATTCACCTTCAGAAAGGCTACTAGATATATTGATGGCCACCAGTAGCTTCCATAAAATTACTCAGGCATGGATGATAGTAGCCTCTAGTGGTCATCATCGCTTTCTTCCATGTTACTAGCATGATTATCATCTCCGACCACTTCACCATCAATATCCACTTGTGTAAAGCCTTCAAAATCATCATCGGAGTGTTAATCAAAGAAAAACTCCTGAATAAAGTCTTTGTTAGATATTGACACAGCCAGTTTTTACGAAAAATGGCGAAGAAATTAATGTGGCTTGATGTTACACCTCATGTAGAGTCTATAAGAATTCAAAATGGCATTGGAAAACGAAAATTTAGCATTGTTCCAAAGCAGTAGTAGGCGATTTCCATCTTAAAATACCGGAAATAACAGTTGACAAGTGTTTTTTTTTGTTTTTTTTATAGCAACCATCTCAGGTGACAGAAGTTGCCGAGTGTAGTAAGAGAGAGAATTCTATGGCAACTATTGTCGCCTGCAGTGTGGTAAAGGTTAATGCTGAAATCTAAATATTTTACAAGCAATTTTATTATTATTATTATTTTGGAGATAATAATGGTTTTGGTGATATAAATCTTACTAATTAACCCAAAGCTGGGGAGAAGAGGTGGGTGCATACCTTTCCCAAAGGTATTTGCACATAAGTGAATATAATGAACCTAAAAGGAATTGGAATTCAACTCTCTGATTAACAATTCTGAGTCATTATCCATTACACCACCCATACATTGAAGCTTACAGCACCTTGTATTCTCAAATGGTCACCCATCTAGTTACTGATCAGGCTCAACGTGGCTTAACTTCAGTGATTGTACAGGAACCAGTGTTTCAATGTGAGGTGGCCATAGGCCAGCCCATATTTGCGAGCAAGGTTTTTCATACTGAAGTGCATCAGACCTGAAAGAAGCTTTTATGATGTTGTGGTGCAATTTGAGTGAAGAGACGGTGAAGAAGTCATGCACTTCAGTTGAGAAGAGATTAAGGGGTGTGGTGAAAGCAAACCGTGGACATTTTCAATTGTAAATTTGTTGTCAATAAATCTAAGATTTCATTGGCCCATTTTGAAGAGCTATGTTTCAAGTATCTTGTAGTCAAGTGAGCTTGACATGAAAGAAACACTCTTGTTGTCGTGGTGTGACTTAAGCAAAGAGATAGTGAAGAAGTCATGCACTTCAGTTGAGAAGAGATTAAGGGCTGTGGTGAAAGCAAACTGTGGACATTTTCAATTGTAAATTCGTTGTCAATAAATCAAATATTTGACTTGTCAAATTTCATTAACCAAAATCTAAAATGTTTTATTTTATAATAAAATGAATAATGTGTAAATGCATATGCCACACCTGATATACAAAGACTTCTTTGAGATGTGTACATAGACATATTAATAAGCTGGCAAACATGGACCTTTATGCCTGCAATAAGACTTAGTGTCAAAAGGACATATTTTCATTTGACACCACTATTATTATTTTAACTACCTTCACTCCTCGGCAATGTTTATTGTTTTTAAAAGTGATGATTAGAATTTTAATAAAAAATAAACATATGAAAGTTAATTTATACTTTTTCTTGAAAATTGACAACAAAAATAATAAACAATGCTTAAAACAATAAACATTGCCAAAGAGTGACGGTCGTTAAAATAAAAATGCTGTCATGGGAAAAACAGTCCTTTTGGTTCTCTATGTTATTGTTTTAAAAAGTGATTAGAATTGTAATAAAACCGAAACATATGAAAGTTAATTTATACATTTTCTTTGTTCTTCAGAATTGACATTGAAAATAATAAACACTGTTTAAAACAATAAAGATTGCCAAAGAGTGAAGAAAGTTAAAATAAAAACGGTGTCATGAGAAAAACCATCTTTTTGCTATTCTGTATTATTGCAACTATGAAGGTCCATGCTTGCCAATAAGCCCCAAATCTTATGATGAAAAAGTATTTATAAATATTCATTCAACATAATCTTCTTCCTTGTCAATGCACTTAATACTTCTCCTTTAATCACATAGATTGATTATACAGTAAAAATTTCAGATCAAAATTTAACTACCAGATTTATGGATTGAACCTTCATAATAATTTGCTAATGTTTTCTTCCCACCTTGATTTATTAACCAGGAATCATTGGAAAGAAACATGTGGGACCAGAATATGTCTATCCATTTGATTATTCAGAAACTGAAGAGAATCATTCAATATTGCAAGTCGGTCGAAACATCACATATATTCGGAAACTTGTCCGCAGGTTTTTTCAAAAAAGTTCCTCTCGGTAAGTAAATGGTAACTGTCTTTAAATTTCTTTTATTTTTATCTTCAGCTACAAAACTTGAATTACCATTCCAGACACCATGACTCCAGTAACATTTGTCAAGATCATAGTTAACTTTAAGAGACAAGATTTAAATCTGCCATTAGAAGGAAACATTCAATCAATAGAATGCATAAATACTGTCTTCATGTTTCATGTTCCTTAGGATATGGGTAGCTAAGCTTTCATGTCCCTTAGGATGTGGGAAGCTAAGCTTTCATCTCCCTTAGGATGTGGGCTGTTAAGCTTTCCTTTCCCTTAGCATGTGGGCAGCTAAGCTTTCCCGTCCCTTAGCACGTGGGCAGCTAAGCTTTCCTGTCCCTTAGTTACTTTCAACAATATTTGATATTCTGCTTCCATCTCGCATGCACACATACTTTACGGAAATCAAAACTCAGAAGACAAAGACAAGGTTTATTATAGTCCAAAAGGGTGAAAGGGCAATGTTATTGTAGCGGGTAGATTTAAGAGGATAGGAAAGTAGATACCATGTGTTTTGAGCCTGTTCTTTATGCTGCTGGTCCTGGGATTTTTTTTTTTAAAATCATATCGCCCATGCAAGGCAGTAAAGCCACTAAGACACAAGGGGGTTACTGGGTGTGGAAGTATGAGAACTAAAGAACAAAAGTTGTCAAAACAGCAGATAGTGATTGACATTGCATTTAGATCTTTGAAGATCAAAGTTGGCTGAAAAGCATGAAGCCAGAAGAAAGTTTCACAAACAAGAAGTGCAAAGAAAGAAACTGTTAGCATAGAACTTACAGTTACAATTTACTAGAAGCTAAACAGTAAGTGGTCAAAAATGGTGACTAATAAAACGTACCTCACTTAAAAAGGTGACGGACAAAAGGGGAAATAAAACAATGGAGGTGCTGTACCGTGGTAACAGAAAACTTGCTACTTTATGACCCCGTCTTCCCATCTATTTACTGAAACTTCTTAAGTAGGCTTTCTGTTGATTTTTTGTTTCTGTTGCCTTCAATTAAAATTTGAAAATATACACGCGCACACACACACACCGGGTGTAACAGCAAAATTGTCCAAATCATGTAACAGCATGGGATAATTGTCCATCCCACAAAATGTTTAATGTCTAAAAAGCTGTTAAACTAATTGAGTTTCTTTTTTTCATATAAGACGTTTAGCCATCTTGACACCATTTGTCATAAGAATCAGTGAAAAACCCTTTGAGTTATTCAGCTAGAAAGAGAACAGGTTAAAATCGTTTTATATCAGCTCCACTATGTCTTCCCAAATGAGCAATGGTGAGAGGAAAAAGATCATTCAGGCTTTCAGTAATGATAGCAACATTCATACTCTGGCTTCTATCTTCAAAGTCCATTCAAGAACCATCAAGGGAACGGTAAATGTTTAAAAAAGAGGGAACAGTAGAGAGTAAAATTGAATCAAAAGGTCACAACAGCAAGAGGGATCATCATTTCAACCTAAATATATTCTTATTGTTCAAAGTAGAGTCCAATAGTTTTATAAAAACTTTGGTGAATTCCAGTAAGATATCTTTAATCATTACAACGATTGAAAGTTTCAAAGCTTAATCTAACAATTGGACAATTTTGTTGTTACACGATTTGGACAATTTTGCTGTTAAATCCTCTGTGTATGTGTACGTGCGTGTGTGTATATATATATATATATATGGCCGGTTACTACTACTAGATTGATAGCCAATCCCTGTTGAAGACACCTGCTCAAACACATTTTGCGTTCGTTCTATTTGTTCAATACTCACAGAGCCAACATGTAGTTTATACTGCATGCTGTGTAGAAAGACTGTCTAGCCTTCACTACACTATTATTGAAACATGGACTCATCCATCCACTATGAGTAGAATGTCTGCTCATTAAACAGTGGACAATAGTGGGTCACAAAGGCATGGCACTTTCAGTCATACTGAACTACTGTATTCTCAATACATGTTCTCATGTGATTAAACCCTTTTTCACTCAACCCTTTTGTTTCTAGTGTTTTCCATATCGTCTTACTAACTAGCAACAAAAAAAACGTTATACAATCTGGTTATACAGTTTCTGGGTGAGAGTATGTAACAAAAAAAATAAATGGAGGTGGGGAGTAAAAAAAATCAAGTGTGGTGTTTGCCAGCAGACCAGTTTTTCTTCTTCCTCACTCACCTTAAGGAAATAGATTGTGGGGCTTTATTTCTTCGCCACCACCCTGGGCACTTTTCAGTTGACAAAGTCAGTTGCGTCTCTTTCACCTTCTTTTTTCCTGTCAATCCACTCATCAGACTAGCAAATGTAATCCGCCAAAAAAAAACATGCCCCAGTCGCTCTTAGCATCTCACTTTTTATGTCTCCTCAAGCAAGCCAGAATTTTCATATGTGCAAATCCCATCTCGTAGAGACAAGACAAGCACTCATAAATTGCACCCCCCCAAGTGCAGCCATATTTTCTTTTCAGCACTTTGCATGCAATACATGTCCATGCTCGTTTTGATCTTCAGGGTAAGTCATTTCTTTCATCACAACACCTATTACTACTACAGAGTGTGATCTGTTGTGATCAACACTTTTTTTTTTAACAAGGTCATTATGCTCAGACTCTCGGTCACGATGACTTGTGACTTCATGCTAGAACAGCCTTCGATGACTTCCAAACAGCTCCATTTGTTTTTTCAGAAAGAATATAAAAACAAATGCTTACATTTGTTTTTATATCCTTTCCAAAAACAAACAATTATTTCGTCTTCAAGTTTTAACTTTAAAGGAAAAAAATTACAGCCTGATGATGGAGACATGGATCTTTGAAAATACTTGCTTAATTTAAAAAAAATATACACTAGAAACATCTGACAACAGTTTTATAAATGAGGATCACATCATTCAATGATTAACAGTATTTTAATGCATACATTATGTTCTACTAGCGAAGTGATTTCGCCATTAATCGCATTAATATGTTGATTGATTCTATGTATGATTATTTCTTTATATATAAAATATATGCTGCCTAATAAATATATATATATATATATATATATATATATATATATATATATATATATAGATATAGATATTATTTGGCAATCTGTATGGATAATTTCAAAGAGTTTATAATCCAGAGAGCTCAATGTAAAAACAGAGCAAACATTAATTATTATTAAGAAAAGACAACTTTAAGGGTACATGATTAAAATTTATTTCCTTAGGACCTAGATTTTAATCATAAATCATCAGATCAACTATTTCAATACAAAAGAATTTTTAGAAGTTGTCTTTTTTCTTTAATAATTTATATATATATATATATATATATATATATATATATATACTTTGTAAATTCTGATTTCTTACTTCATGACTTTCAATTTCATGCATAGGCAATCATCAGGTAGTAAATTGTTTTAATCTATAATGAAGCTGCTATTTATTCTCAGTGATATTAAAGGGAAAATTGTCAGAATGAGCCGTTTCAAATATTTTTAATATGTATTTTTTTAAATTATAATCTTGAAATTAACATTTACTTAGCAATTTTAACTTTTTCAATACAAAATAAATTTGTTTAACACTTTCTTTAATCTTTCTTTTTTTTTTTAAATTCTAGACCTTTTTTCTTATACATTGGCTTTCATGATCCCCATCGGTGTGGCCACAGTCATCCTGAATTGGGATCCTTCTGTGAGAAATTTGGTGATGGTATCACAAATGGAACAGGCTTTATACCTGACTGGAAACCAGTTTATTACAACCCTAAAGATGTAAAAGTGCCTTATTTTGTCCCTGATACTCCGGCAGCTAGGGCGGATATTGCAGCTCAGTACACTACCATCAGCCGACTTGACCAAGGTAAGCAGTTTTTATTTCTTACAGTTTGCCAACAAATGTTTGTTCATATGTTGTTTTGGTAGACAAATAATTTTTAGTGACCGTTTTTACTCCCCAAGAGCCAAACAAGAAATGGTAACATCAATGTTGTCAAGCACATTGGATCCAGGAAGCACATTTAAGCAGCAAGCTAAAATTTGATAAATATAGTTTCCTTCTAATCAAATCCCGAGAATCTATTTCAAAACTCTTCTCAAGAGTTCCTCCATAATGTATGTGAGAAAAGAAATGATGTTTTTATATCTGTTATGCACAGAGTACGCACAACTTTGCATGTGCAAGGTGCACCCAAAAAGTATCTGACTTATTTTATCCCACCAAAACCTATGCTCTGTGGGCAAAATCCTTTGGTGGGAGGTGACATCACTCTTCCTGCAGATGTGTGAATATTTTCGCACCAGTAGACTACATCAGTTTCTGGCTGTGTTATGCTTAGAGTACAGACATGTAGTGCACGCTTGTCAGATTTTTGTTTTCACAAAAGATGACACACCTTGTTTTGCACATGTATATATATATATATATATATATATATATATATATATATATATTGTAAGTTTGTACACCAATATCCCCCCTCCAAAGAAACAGCACAGATATGTGCTGATGCTCTCTACAGAGGTTGCCTGGGCCCTCCTTCTATTCCAGAGCCTTTATTTTTGGAGTTCCTTATGTTAGCAACTAAAGGAATAGAATTTAGTTTTGAAAATATTATGTATGCTCAAGTAGATGGGGTTTCTATGGGTAGTCCCTTGGGTGGTCCCTTGGGTACCTTTTTAGCTAATATTTTTGTTGGTTATTATGAGAGCCTTTTATTTGAGAAATATCAGAGACTGTATATCTATCAACGTTACTTTGATGATACTTTTTCTATGTTTAATAACATAGAGGAGGCAACTCTTTTTTGTGAATCCTTAAATGGTTTACATCCATCTTTGGTTTTTACAATGGAGGAAGACGTGAACAACTCTATTTCTTTTCTAGACGTTCTTGTGGAGAGGAAGAATAGTATTTTTATTTCCAGTGTTTATCGTAAAGACACCTTTTCTGGTCTTTACACTAGTTGGAATTCTTTTGTCCCTCAACATAGAAAAATAAATTTGATTAAAACTTTAGTACATCGAGCCTTATTAATTTGTTCATAATGTACACTCCAGCAGGAGTTAAATAAGATCCGTTGTATTCTTGTCAATAATGGTTTTCCAACTGGTACTGTGGACTACACAATTGAACGAAAAATAGACAACTTTAATATGCCCCCTAAATTGGGTCCTGGTCTGTGTCCTATTTATCTTAAATTACCTTGGCTTGGCAGAAAATGCAAACTTTAAGTGACAGAATTTCTACTATTGTCTCTGCCACTTTTTTTCAGCCAAACTACGTGTTATTTTTGGCACTCGCTCGATTCTACCTTCATTTTCTAAAGACCGTCTACCCTATCACAATAAAAGTTTGCTTATTTATAAATTCAAATGTCAGTGCTAAGCTGAATATATAGGACGGACGAGTCTCAGGTTAGAGTCGAGAATAAGCCAACATGTTCCTAGGTATATTAGATTACATTCTTGTGATCATTCTCGTGTGTTGCAATCATCGCACAAGTCTTCAATAGCACAACACCTATTAGATAATGAGTCATGCTCATCTTGTTTTTCAACTGACTTGTTTTCCATTTTGCATAAAGGCAGATCAAAACATCATTTATTAATTTTGGAAGCATTATGCTTAAAATTATTCCAGCCTGTACTGTGCAAACAGAAGGAGAATTTTTTAAGATCCTTGAATTTATTCAGAGATACGTGAGCTTTATTTTTATCTTTTTATGTCTGAAATTGTATGTAACTTTTTAAAAGAATTTTTTTTAACTGTTTTCTTTTCTCGTTTTTGACAGGAATTGGCCTGGTGTTGCATGAATTGTATGCTGCTGGCCACTTGAATGATACTTTAATCTTGTATACATCAGACAATGGGATTCCTTTCCCTAATGGCCGAACCAACCTTTTTGATCCTGGTCTTGCAGAGCCCCTCTTAGTATCATCGCCTCATCACAAAGAAGAGTGGGGAAAGGTAAATAAACAATTCCTAATTATCATTGAATGATTTTCTTGTAATTGTTGGCGAGATGAATGGAGACGATTCTTATTGATAATTTGTCTAAATTTTTCATAAGGCGAATGAGGATTTTATTATATGCTGGTTTATTTGAACTGTTGCCCTCATTTTGCTTGTTAGAATTTGTTTCAGCCATTGTGCCCTCTGGTTTGTATCAGATGCCTGCCGTATTTGGTAACATTCTTGGAATTTGGAACTGAACTCTTCCAGCCACACACATCATGAGGGCAAAATAACAAAAACATTTTTTACTAAATCTCACCCAATACAAGAGGCTCGAGAGCCACTCGGGATAGAGGGTCTCACTGGATGAGGTGGAAGTGAAGATTATGGGGATAACGAGAGTAACATTTGATACCTGACTGGAAGCCAGTAAGATTGTAGCTTCTATGTGAGAGTTCCACTAAGTAAAAGACTGTCCGCCCCAAATGGCAAATTTTTGTGGGTGGTGAATTAGTAAAATAAAGCAGCATGCAACACGAAAAATACACTGCCAACATATTGTTCAGAACGGGCTACATTTTGACACACAAGAGATTTCAACGACACACTGATAGGACAGTCCTCTAAACAAGTGCCTTTTCATTGTCATGTTAATCACTTACATCTCAGTTTTACCATTCAAATCTTCCCTGTTAGGCTAAAAACAGAAAAAATTTGACCATTATTGACATCTTCTCCAGAATTCCAAGAAGGTTCTTCTTTTTTTTTTTTTTTCTTGAAATAAAGTCACAGCCTCACCAAACCAGGTGTTGCTGTTGTGTTCTCCATAGCAAATAAGTTTTTCATGGGCTGATGTTGCTAGTCTTAAACCCAACTAGTTTGGAATTCAGATTTTTTCTTCTCCTAGACTGGTTGCCAACCAAAGCTTGTTTATGTGTGTTTTTTTCAAATGTGTGTATTACAATTCTGTATAGTCTATGTATACATGATTGAGTATGTTGCATGTATATGTTTGTGCTATTGTTAATGTGTCAGAATATTACTATCTGCAACGATAGTATCTTGTTTTTAAGTATTTCCCCCCAAGCAAAAGTTGGATTACGATTACAGAAAGTGAAAAAAAAAAAAGAAAATATTAATGAGGAAGAAAGACAATAAAATAACAGGATTCAAAAAGACAGATGATGGTGCGATTGTTGTTGCAGGTAAATTGTTAAAGATTGTAGTTGACAAAAAAAAAAGCAAGAAGCTGGAAGAGGATTCCACAAGTGAGAAGTTCAAGAACAGAAACTATTAGAATAGAACTTACTGTTACACTTAGCAATTTCAGTTGTGAAATGATGAGACCTATCTGCCAATCTAGTACTGTGCTTAACTTCATGAGGTTGAGGTCACAAAGAGGAAAGCGATATTTATTTGTAATTAATTACAAAATGTGGCACAAGGCCAAAATGGGGAAAAGGCGATCTTTGTCTTAATTTTAAATCTAGCTAGCCACAAACACTGACCCAAACATACCGCAATATTCCTAACATCAAAACAACACATTCTTACTTTCCTTTCTTACTACATACACCATAATACCTCATTGTCTCTATGAAAATCCTAACTAGTTTTCATATGTACAATTCATTGTCTGTGGGGGGAGGGGAATAATACAACAATAGCCCCAATGTGTATATACAATATGAAAACAAAACTATTTACAAGAAACCAAATAAAATAATGTAACAAATAGGAAAGCTCATCAAAACAACTTCTATGAAAATATTTATAGAAAAAGTCAAAGGGAAGTTACATTACAAGAAAGAAAAATGACTGAAGCCAAGATGCCAGGTCAGGACTGATAACATTGCAGATTCTTTGCATATTGTCAAGAATCTTGAGATGTATATCGGACATATGAAACTCAATGTTGCAGCAATATTCAATGCACAGATCAATGGTAGATTGGTAAATCTTCAAGATGGATTCTGGCAAAAAAAATTTGTCCAATGCCACACAGTGAACAAATTTTCCTAGAAGCAGACCTAGCAATAGATTCGAAAGAAAAAAATTAATTATGTTGTTCAATTCTTTGATGTCACATGTGTAAATTAGACTGAGACCCAGAGAAGACTCCCCTCGGACAGTACCTCTCCTTCAGGAGGGGACTGGGGTCATTACCCAGCACCTGAGGCATCTCTAAAAGGGGAAGTGCTGAGAGAACTTGAACAGTTTCTTTTTTCCACAATATTGTCATTAAAGCCACATTAAACCTCAACCTTTTTGTCACATTCATTTGCGACATGGGCACACTGTTAAATACGCACATATAAATTAGTCGATTGAATAAAATGGATGAAAGTTGTGACCATGTACCGACCATGTTAGTCATATTAATATGACTTGTCCACTTTTCTGTCTATTTTGACTTATCTTTTTTTTTCTTCTTCTTCTCCTCCTCCTCCTCCACCTCCTTCTTCTTCTTCTCTCTCTCTCTCTCGGAACAATTCAGTATGATATCGGACGGAAAAGAAACATGATTTTTGTACTTGAATCATTGATGAAATTCTGTAAATATTAATGAAGGCAACAGACAGAAATGTTTATTCATTTTTTAACAATCTTTTGTTATTTATATTCCTTTCTTAAAAGAAATACTTTATGTCTCTGTATTTACCGATAGTTCACTCAATACAAGGCACAAGGGTCACTCAAGGTAGAGTATTACCGAGTGAAATTATTGTAAGGGATGGGTGAGAGGGGTAAGAGAGTAATATGAGGACGAGTAGGATAGATATCGGATGATATAATTCACTCAATACAAGGCACAAGGGCCACTCAAGACAGAGTGTTACTGGGTGAGATTATTATAAGGGATGGGTGAGGGGGAGAGTAAGAGAGTAGTTGACTGGGTAGCAAGAAACTGGAAGAGAGTTTCACAAGTAAGAAGTGTGATAGAAGAAACTGCTAGCATAGAACTTACGGTTACATCTAGCCATTTCAACTGTAAAATGACAGCCTTGCTACCAATCTGATACTACACTTAAATTCATAAAGTCAAGGTACTATAGCAGTATAATAAATAATTTAATAAAATGAATGAAACTTGTGACCGTGTATCGACTGATTGTATAAATGACTTCTTTCTCGACATTCTTTGACTTCCCAAACTATTTCTCTCTCTCTCTCTCTCCCTCCCTCCCCCTCTCTGTGAACAAGTCAATGTAATAACTGACAGACATGTTTTTTTGTATTTGAACTATTTTTCTTTTTAATCAGTTTCACCCCATGCAAAGCAGTAAAGCCACTAAGACACAAGGGCTTACAGGGTTTGGAAGAACAGAAACATTACAGATGAACGGGAAGAGGAAACAGTAATCAGGAGGACGGTAGCGTTTTTGTAGGTTAAAGTTGGCTGGTAAGCATGGAGCCATAAGGGAGTTTACAAGCAAGAAGTGCAAGAAAAGAAACTGTTAACATACGGTTATATCTAGCCAATTCAAATGTAAATTGATGAGATCTCGATGCCAGTCTAGTACTATGCTTAAATTCAAAAAAGTCTAGGTACCATAGCAAAGAGCGATATTTATTCTGTTTTATACGGAAATGTGGCACAAGGCCAAAAAAGGGATTGGGGAAAGGACGGTCTTCTTCTGTCTTAACTATAACTTAGCTAGCCGCATAAACATTGACCCAATCGCATTTAACAATATTCCTTACACCAAAAACAACACATTCATAATGCATTTCTTTTACTACAACCACCATAATACCTCTTTGTCTCTATGAAAATACTAACTAGTCCCCATATTTACAATTCATTGTCAGTGGGGGGAGGGGAATAAAACAACAATTCTAAAAACTAGCCCCAATGAGTATTTACAATATGAATACAAAAACTATAGCAAAGAGCTCATTTAAACAATTACCATGAAAGTATTTATAGAAAAGACACTAAGAGGCAACCCTATGTAAATGGTAAAGCAACTGAAGCTGAGCAGCCAGATTCAGACCAATAATATTGCTGATTCTTCTTAGGATTTTATCAAGAAGTTCAGGGCAAATAGCAGGGACACCGTACCATATGTGGCAGCAATAAGCATGGACAAATGTTAGACTTATGTAAAACAGATTCTGGAGAGAAAAAAATGCCTCGAACAACACAGTGAACCAACTTACTTAACAGCTGACCTAGCAATGGATTCAATATAACTTCCTACTTCATGTCAATTGAGAACATTAGCATCATCTATGCTAAGGGAAAGCAGTGACGGGTGTCTCAGATAATTAATGAAGAGAAGGTTAGTCTTGGAGGCATTAAAATTAACAAGCCATCTTTTGCCCCATTTACTGACAGACTTGACGCTGTTTTGGACACCAGTTGCCATTTTGACCATGTTGGACTGATCAGCCTTACTATCAAGGCAGGAGTAAATGGAAATAAGATTATTTAAATATCAATAAAGGCAACAGGCACAAATGAATCCTTTTGTTGTAAATGCTTTCATTATTTGTATTCCTTTTCCAAGAGAAATTCTTCGTGTGCATTATAATAATGTTATCTAACTTTATTTTTTATTTCATTTTTTACAGACCAGTGAATCTCTGGTAAGCCTCTTGGACATTGTGCCGACCGTTCTTGATTGGTTTCAGCTTCCTTACCCAAAGTACAAACTCCTTAAGAAATCTGTGACATTGACTGGTCAGTCACTGTTGCCACTTTTAAGTAATCCCTCGACCAGAAGGAACCCTTCTGCAGTGTTTGCAAGCCACAGTCTTCATGAGATCACCATGTACTATCCAATGCGCTCAGTCCGTACTGACCAGTATAAACTCATTCGCAACCTCAACTACAAGATGCCTTTCCCAATAGATCAAGATTTCTATATTTCTTCAACTTTCCAGGATCTTTTGGATCGTACCAAACATAAAAAGGACACACACTGGAGTAAAACCTTGCAAGAGTATTATTACCGAGACCAGTGGGAGCTGTATGATTTATACAATGACCCAGCTGAATTGACTAACCTCGCCTCTCAGTCAAGATTTCGATTTGTCTTTGATTCTCTGAAAAGAATATTGTACAAATGGCAGAATATTACTAATGACCCTTGGATCTGTGGACCTGGAGCTGTCTTGGAGGATAGAGGGGCTTACAAATTCAACCCTCAATGTATGGGTTTAAATAATGGTTTATATGAATAATAATATGGCAAAGAAATGGTTGCCTTTGGTGCTAGGGTGGGGATCATGTAACTAATACTAATAAATATTTTAATATTACTATATTTAAATATACTATATTTTAATACATGAGGTGTCATTATTCTGTGGTAAATAAATTCCCAAATCCTCACAGATAAAAGACAACCATATATACTTGGCTTGTCTGAAAAATTTCACCGGGAAATCGATATTAATTTTGCTGATTAGGCCAGGGTAGAAAATATGACATCCTGCACAAGGTCATATAAAAAGTGGAAGATTATGCAGCTCCAGTCTAGATATGGTAGAAATGCTACATTTTTGGTTTAATCTGACTCTTGTATAGATAAAGTATGTCAGAAGGAGTCACGTAGTTACTGGGGCAATAGAACAAGTATCTCCAGCCTAGACATGGTCATAATACTCCATGTTTGGTCTAATCTGACTCTTGTATTGATAAAGCTTTTGAGAAAGGGTTAGATAATTTCTCAAGTGATAAAACGAACCAACCATTTTCCCCAGCATCATTAGCCATGGATTGTATATCAGAGTTCCATTTGATGTCTGGCATGTATTTGATAAATGGAAGTTTCTTTTCACGAGTTTTTCATAACGTTTTAGCCAATTCATTCTATAGACACCTTCTCTTGTACATTCCATAAGTAAAGAGAATGATCTTTTTTTGGCTTATATCAAGCCGATTTGATTCAATCCCAGCAAAATAAGTCATACAGTAATATTCTCAGTAATGTGTTTAAAACAAATAATTATAATTTATATACAAGAACACTCCCCAGTCTCCTCCCTTTTGTGCCAAAAAACAAAAGATCACATTGAAATCTACGCTAGCCTGACATGTATTCTTCATTGATGATGATATATAAAAAATGAACTTCAATTTACGAATTTCATATTTCTTTTCATTCTTAGCATAGCAAATTGGACCCACTATTTACTTATATGAAATTTAATAAAAAAAATTTTGTGATCTGGAGTTCTTAATTTATAGCAATATGAAAAAAAAAATTTTAAAAATGGTTATTGCAGTGCCTAATGTGGGAGAAAATGATATATCAAAATTTCAGCATCCCCCTCTCCTTCATGCAGATATGTTGTTACATCAACATAAACATTACTTTAGTCCAATGAAGTCTTAAAGGATAAAACACATTACATGAAAAACATTTTCCACTTGGTCATTAATTAGAGAGAGAGATAATGATATATATATATATATATATATATATATATATATATAAATCAATTTTCTAAGGTTACCAAGAAATTAATCCATGAAGTTGAAAGGATCACAACCAAAATAAATTGACATGATGTGTCTAAATTATTTAATCAAACCTGTTTGACTGAAAATATTCTGCTGAAATATATATATATATATATATATATATATATATATAATATACACACACACACACACGTGTGTATTTGCTGTTAAATGTATATAAAATAAATCTGTAAATAACTATAAAATATTTTTCAAATTAATCTTGCCTTTGTGTTTCATTTTTGTTTCTTTCATCTTTTGTTTTTATAACATAATGACTCTTCGGGCTGTGTGTGTAAAGTTGCAATCATTGGCATGGCAGGTGAGATCATTGAGTAAAGGTCAAATTCTGGCTGATGGTGTTTGCTTTTGCACAAATACCCTTTGGAAAGGTATGAATCCATCACTGGGATCTGTAGATATGGTTGACAACTAGTCTGGGAGAAGGAAAACTCTGAATTCAAAACCATGGAAAAGGCACCAGGAAATCACAAAAGTATATTTCCGCAAGAATTTATGGCAATTCATAGATAATAATGAGTAAGTCAAAGAAGGCGGACAGAAATCAGCAGGCCCAGACCTTCACAGTTCAGAACCATCAGACCACATACATTGAATCGACTCCTCATCATTCCATTCATATTCCTTTGGTAAAGATTGATTTAATTTCTTTTCATTTGGAAGTTATTTTAATAGGGGTAGATAGGTTCCCCTATTGTCCAGTTCACACTCCTCCCCTGTCTTTTGAACAGGAGTAGAGGTTTATCCCTTGTTTCCTGTTTGGGATAGGGTTTCTGATTCCTTCTAAATTCTACTTCAACTCAATACATCTAAAGCAATGATTCCCAACATGGGGTGTAGTAATCTTTTGGTGGGGCATGTGTAGGATGTGCACCCTTCGGCTTACTATACCAACAGAATAAGGGGGTAATTCGAGAATGAGTTATTAATAGCGAATTGTTTTCTAGTGAATCTGAGAGTGTTAATACATACAATGCATATACAGTATGCATGCATAAAAATATTTTGTATGTATGTACACACATGTGTAATTGACATCCAGGTATTTCCCATCTCCCCACACTCGTGTACCTTGGTCAACAAAGGAGAGGGTGTAATGTATGTTGCTGGAAGAGCCCATGTTTTGACAGCTAATCAGCATGTGTAAGCATTCAGTTTTGTTTCTTTCATGTGAATTGCAGTAAAATTTTGAATATGTAAGAATTAAATATTACAGAGAGGGCACCAGAATTTTAGAAATACCAAAGTGGGGCAAGGCCCAAAATAGGTTGGGAACCATTGTTATGAAGTCTCCACTTAAACTTTGAAATTTATACTATTAATTGGGTTTCTGGTTCCTTCTTAAGTCTTCCTTCTCTTTCACTTCCAGTAGTCCCCTTGCGTCTTAGTGGCCTTATTGCCTTGCTTGGAGAAAAAATGATTAAAAAAAACAATTTTAAGCCAGAAAATACTTTTTTCTTTGTAAGAATTTTTTTGGAGATAATAAGGATTTACTGATACAAGTTCTACTAATTAACCCATAGCTGGGGAGAGAAGAGGTGGATTCATACATTTCCCTTTATTAAGCGTATTTTAATCTGCCTCCCTGTTGTCAAAGATCAACATAATGATAGCTTTCTGTATGCCAGTAGCACACTTAATGGATTCATCTTGACAGTTTTAATGTTCACTTCCGTTTTATGTCACTGTCCGAATGGTACTTCCTCGTTATCAATGGGTACTTGTGTGATCACCGAGGTTAAGCAACATCGATCTTAGTCAGTACCTAGATTAGTGACTATTTTGGAATACCAGGTGTTGGAAGCTTGGATGTATAGGTGGTGGGTGTAATGGATAATGGCTTGGAGTTATTAATTGGAGAGCGATATTTATTCTGGTATATACACAGAAATGTGGCACAAGGCCAAAACGGGGATTGGGGAAAAGGATGGTCTTCTGTCTTAACTATAACTTAGCTAGCCGCAAACACTGACCCAATTATGCAAACAATATTCCTTACATCAAAACAACACATTCTTACCTTTCTTACTACATTCACCATAATACCTCATTGTCTCTATGAAAATACTAACTAGTCCCCATATGTACAATTCATTGTCTGTGGAGGGAGGGGAATAAAACAATTCTAAAAACTAGCCCCAATGAGTATTTACTATATGAAACTATTTACAAGAAACTAAACAATGTTAATTGGAGAGCTGAGTTCCAATTCCAGTTGGGTTCATTATATACACTTACATGCAAATATCCTTAGGAAAGGTATGTGTCATATAGGAAGGAAATGAGTAACTACCGACAATGAGGTTCAAGCGTGACACTCTGGACTTATGTTTTCTGCTGGGTGTATAAATAGCGGTGTCAGGCTACTGACCGGGTGGGGGGTGATTATTGTGGAACTATCCAGTTGAAATAGCATAAATTATTGTGCATCGATGATTTGGGTTTTGATTTAGGATTTACGGGACGTTAAGCCTAGCCGCGCTACTAACAAGGTATTCCCTGAAATGGTTAATTATCTTTCGTTGACTTTTACTTCTGTGTTTGTTATGGAGTGGTTTCGCAGTGTAAGCTTGTAATTGTACTAAGTCGGTCCTAAAATAGGTTCAACGTACAAAACATTAGGAACTTGATATAATAGGTAATGACGCAGAGAAATCTAGTTGTGGTCGCTGATACTTTAGTATCCGACTAATGGTTGTCCGGCATCAACTGACTGACCGACCACTGAGTGACTCCATCGTTACTCTTACTACTCCTACTTATTATAGGTGGGAGAGTCTATTAACTATAGAATAGGTGTGTTCCACTATAACAGTGTTCTTGTTAAGTATTTATTTGCAGTTGTAATTAAACACTGTTTTATTTAATATTGAAGTCTTGAGTTATACGTAATCATTAACGGCCATTGTACATCACAAAAGTATGAATCTACCTCTTCTTCCCCTAGCTATGGGTTAATCAATACTTGTATTGCTAAATCTTTATTATCCCCCTCCAAAAAAAATTCCTACAATCTAAAAAATATTTTCTGGCTTTAAATAACCTGCAAAGAGTTGATAAGCCATAGAAAACAAATCAATCAAATCACATCAAAGCAAACAGTTCCTCCTCTACGTGCCATGTTCCTACAGGATGTAAGCAATCATGGCTCTTCAAAATTTCCTGTCCTTTGTAGCTCTTAATAAGTTGTCTTTTTGTTATTTCTCCAAAACCTTGGCCTGCCATCCATTTATTCTAGCTCACTAAGTAAGTTATACATTGTTTTTCTCTGTCCGTCTTGCCTTCAATCTGTCCTGTGAGTATCATATTTTCCAAGCCCATTTTTCTCAACAACCTTGGAGTAATCGTAAAAAGTGGAATAC